TTTGATTTCTATCCTAACAAATGACGACGCAAGAGATGTCAGCACGTACGATCGAGAAGGTGGTCGTTCATCCACTCGTCTTGCGTAATATCAACGACAATCACAACCGCATGGGTACTCAGATAACGCGTACTATCGGTGTTCTTCTCGGCACTATCTCCCGTAGTATCCAGGCCCGGCCCTGTGCATGTGCTGAGGGTGCATTGGCACAGGTCCCAGCACTATTTTTTGATTTTTTTGGCCCAAACTAGGGCCCTTTTTTTTTAAAAAAAAAAATTTATATGAGGAAATTTTTTTTTGCCCAGGGCCCATATAATAGTTGAGACGGGCCTGGTGGTATCGTTAGTGTCACCAACAGCTACGCAGTGCCCTTCGAGGAGGATATCCACGGCCCAATTGATGCTTGGCGTATTGATGAAAACCATCTTCAGTCAATGTTCCGGATGTACAAGGGCCTTAATGACAAGGAGCATGTGCTTGGTTGGTACAGCGCAGGCCCTACTAGACCCACAAGTCTCAGAGAGCGTGATTTGCATATTCACGCTAATATCTTGAGGGACTATGTTCCCAATCCGCTTTGGGTCGTTATTGATGTCCCGCGTGTACAACCCCTAGAAGCTTACTACTCTAGCAGCAACGAAGACGACTTTGTCCGTGTGTCTACAGTAATTGCTACTCCTCCTCCTCCTATCAGCGGCCCGAGTGTCCTGGTGACTCAGATGACTCCGGGTGGTGAGAACGGCCGGGTGGATTTTCTCGAACGTTACTATACGCATGTCAAAAACAGTGTTAGGATTAGCGTTTCGGGATATGACACTTCGCTTGATGTTGTTGAACTTGTTGGATATTTGGAGAAGCACTTTGAGTCATGTGGTTTGAAGGACATTAGGGTGCCGACACACCCGGTAACCGGTGCGATTATCAGCAGTTCTGCTACTGTGGTTCTCCGTGGAGAAGGTGTAGCAGATAAGGCGTTGGCTCTCAACGGAAGTTACGTTGGAGGATGGAAACTGTCTGTCACCATTTTACCACCCGTGTTGGATGTGATGAGCACTGACATGACTGCCCGCGAGTTTGCTCTTGGTTACGCCGCCGCTGAGAACCCCTTTTAAAATTATTTATGCGTATGTTTTTTTTCCCTCCTGATTGTGTTTTTTAATTTGCTAGCCTAAAACATCTTTTTTTTTACTGTGGTTTGAAAGTTCTATTAACGTTGAATTTCATGATTTATTTAATCATCTTAGTACGTATGTATATCCGCTTAACACTAACGACACGAAGGAAAGCATTACAAAGGTGTAATGAACTGGTTACAACAACCTGTTGTATTTTATCGCACTACTAGTTTTTCATTGTCTTGTTAACAGAAAACATAAAAGCTAACAAAACGTCTAGGTGGTGTAGTCGGTTATTACTGCCTTAAGCTTAGCTTTCCTTAACGACATGTATTATCTCTGCTGACTTCTTTTATTAGTTTCTACTTATTTATATCTCTGCTCTCTGCTCTGTAATTTCGATTGAGGCTTGTCATGGCAATGTGAAGTTATGGCATATAGGTTCGGATGATTTTTGAAAGGTTTTAGACTCTTGTGTATACAATGGTTGCTCTTGAAACTGGATTTTCGGTATTGAATATAGGTTTCATGATTTTGGTTTCTTGTAATCGGAGTGGCTTTTTCCAGTTTCTGTTTGCATGGATTGGCTACTTTGTCTTTAACATCTGCTCTTGAGCTGGACTCTCAGTATTGGATTTGATTAGATAGTTTTTTTTTTCCGTCTTTGATACACCCGTGTGACGGTTTGGTTGTTCATGTTAATATCTTGCTTCGCTGTTAGCTTTCTTAGCGTTGTCACGCAAGTATTGTAGCTGTTGGTAGTAGTGTGTGTGTTCTTTTTATTAGAATCTATTGCGTGTTCGTCAAGCTTAAATGGGATGTTTTTTTTGCCAGTTTTGCGGCTACCTTTAATGAGAAGTTTATAAGGACTAACAGAAATGTGTTTCAAGTACAAAATTTGAAAAACAGAGAGGATCTGAAAACTAAAAAAACTGTTCTGTTTTCCTTCAAGACTTAACAAAGTTCTTGAGCGTTTTCAACCACAGTAAGTGCTCTTTACCATCTTTGTTAATCATATACTCATGCAAGAAGTTGATCATGCTCGGCGTTATCCCTCTAATCTCAATGTACCTATGGAAACCCTTTCTCAGCTTTTCATCTAAAACCCTGCAGAAAGAAAACCAATCAAAGATCATGAATTTTAATTCTTATAATCACCAAACGTTCAAAGACTTTTTCTAATTATTATTACCGGAAGGAAGGGCCTTAATAGGCAAGTTCATCTTTGGATGGATCATCAGGAAAAGTAACCCACATGTCCTTGATCACAATCTTGTCAGGAAAAGCAGTACATCTAAACTCCAAACTTGTTCCTGTCTTCTTAGAAAGTGTTACTAATAGAGGCACATTAGATTGCTTAGGCTTCTCTGGCTTATCCTCATGTTCTTCTTCTTCATCATCTCCTTTATCACCAGTCACAAGATTAGTCATGTGTAATTCAACTATAACACTCTCTCCTTGATAATCTCTAGTCAGTGTCACGATCTTAGTTCTTAATTGGGCCAAAAATATGAGCCCATAATTGGCCTGTAGGCCCATTAGGATATCTCAGGTTAAATAAGTGGGAGACCGTTTAACAAAATCTGAAACCCTAGTTTGCCTCTTCTTCTTCAGTCGTAGTCTTTTTAAAGTTGAGAAGAAAGTAGCGATGGATTCGATATATATAACTAATAGTTTGATACACAGTGTTAGCTGTAGATATGGCTAATGTAAATGTATTAAACCAAAAAATTTGTTTTAGGTTCGTGAGAGTAATCAGTAGTTTGCATTTTTTTTATTTGTTATAAATTCTGTTTTATGGTGGCTAATTAGCCAATCACATGTTAGCCTTATGGCTTTTGTTTGTGTGAATGGTCAGTGAGCTCACCTATAACAATGTCGTTAGTGATTCATTTCAACACTGAAAACAGGATTAAACTCTGTTTTGGTTTTGGATCATTAACTATATATGTTTTTGACTATATTACTTCATTTGAGAGTGTTTATATTATATAACAATAAGGTGACCAATTAGCCGATCACATATTAGCCATACATATGGCTGCTTTGTTTCTGTGATTGGTCAGTATGTCAACAATATCACTTATCTTGTTTTGGTAGCCTTTTCTGAATGTGAACAAAAGCTGTGTTCTCCTTTCTTGGCTGCTAACTGTACATACTAAGCTATCTTGTTTTTTAACTGCTTGACATTTCTTGGTCTTGATGCTAAGCATGGGCACGTTAGTCAACCGCGTTGTTCTATATGCAGGTGGGTGACCGTAATGCCCACCCAGATGTTATGTTGGTGGCTTCTTTGCTCGAAAGTAGATTTCTGCTTTCATCACCTAGCTGTCAACTACAACACCTTTTGATTCTCTATATACCTTTGCTTTTTTTGTTTCTTTGGGTGATTTTAGGCTTCAGTAGCTGAGCCAAATGTTGATTGTTTGGTTCTCAACGTTCTTTAATTCTTTGGAACAAATACATTGGCTGTTCTCAAGAAGGATCATTAGATTGTCCAACAAAAAAGAAATAGCTATAAGCCTTACGTTACATTTAGTAATACGGCACAAAGGTAATATCCCAATGGTTACATTTAGTAACTAAATAGGTTGGTCCGAATATTTCTCTGTCGGAAAAGGAACGTATAAGGATGCTGAGCTAATGCAATAAACAATTTCAAGATCAATAATTCTAATGTGTAGAAACCTGATAATCTCTGATAAGAGGCGAAAGTCAAACCTGATTCCACGAGTTACTAGAGCGATTTTCCCGGCGAGGAACCATCTTTTGTCACTCTCCAGGAATCTCACTGTGCGTTTGTGAGTGAAGCGACTGGATCAAACTCTGCTGGATCTGTTCAAAATGGGCCTGGCCCGTTGACTTTCTTAGGGCCCGTTGCATCCACATAAATTTATTAGGCTTTGGATTGGTGTATGGGGAAAGAAAGTAAAAAAATAATACAAAATGGTGAGTTATTTGACTTTTTGAATGCATCCTATGCACACGGTTTGTGAAGGTGCAACTGCAACGTGAAGCAGAACACAGCCCCAAAAAAGAAAGTACATTGAAACAAGAAGAAGAGAAAAGGTTACTAAATTAGGAAACTCTAATGGACAAAACATATAAAGAACCAACCAGTGAAGTAAATTTCGATGAATAATGAGAGGGCAAGCAGAGCATGTGCATTCTGATTTCTGAGCTCTCCTTTAAAACCAATTCTTATCTTCTTTTACACTAAAGAAGTCACCTATTTGCCACCCTATTTCCAAACCTTTCACTTTCTTACTGTACATGAATGTGTAGTGAATGATGATGGTGCAACTTCAAGTTTAGTTTCTTCAATGGGAAAGCTAGACAACAGAGAATATAGCGTTCTTCACTTTACCTGTTCGTGTATGTAGGTGTTATAGTAACATACACCAAAATAACTTTTAGGGTAACTTATTGATATTAGCTTTTGGGGCAACTTATTGATATATAAATTCTCTAATTTAGATTGCCGGAAAAAAGGTTTTATGTAGAGTGTAGACTTTTAAAATCTTGTAAATTCTTTAGACTATTTCCATCTAATTTGTTTTTTTTTATTAAATCATCATATTCATGTATCAAGTATTTTAGATCCTTCAAGACTTGTGCATGTTTTACAATAATCCATTATAACAATTCAACAAGATTATCATTAAAAAAAATTATCATGGTATAATAATTATTCCAAAATAAATTTTATTTTGTTTATTTATAAGTTTATCATAGATTTATAAAATTGTAATAATTACATGTTTCTGTTAAATTGCTAAATCTCTTAAATCTTTCAGACATCTACAGCCTTTGTTTAAACTCATGATTGCAAACAACAGTGAAAACCAAACACAATATAGTGAAGCATTCGTGAAAAAAAAATCCAGATTTCCGTTTTATGTTAAAACTGTAGTTCAATT